ATTATGTCTTCCTTATTGTAGCCTTCGCATGAAGGTTGTGGCTGATTTGCATGGGGTTGGGCACGTGAGGCGTGATCGCTCCATCAATTTGGTACGTCGTTCCTATTTCTGGCCTTCTTTACATCGTGATGTTTCTCGTTTTGTTGGGTGATGTCGGGTTTGTCAGGTTTCAGACATGCGTCATATTTACGTGCATTTTATAGTGATTTTCGTGTCTGTTTCGTCGTAGTTTGATATATAATTAGTTATTGTTTAATTAATTATTATATTAATTATTTATTTAATTAATTTATTAAGCTATGATGAGGTGTTCTATTTTAAGTTTTAACAGGAAATGGGGCTGAAATAATTTTTGGAGTCGAAAGCGATAAGAATGGATCGATTATGATGTGCGAGCCGTGTATTGAGACGGATCAAATTGCAAGGCCTTATTTAAGAGAAGGAATTCAGCCCTTAAAGTCCACCAGAAGCAGCCCAATGTCCATTTACTGGCCCAGTTGAGATTAGTATGTAATGGGTTGGCCCAAAAGCAACTAAGTGGGGGTATAAGAGTAATTTTGAAGTGTGGCATCTTCTTCCTCATATTTCACGTACGTGAGGGGTCCATGAGCAGCCATTAAAGTTGCTGCCAAAGCTTCGACCGAATACCACTCACCACCGTCTCGTTGGACGCTTGAAAACCAAACTCCGCCACCTGCTATGGTCACCGGAGAAGACGGCTTGAGGAGCCGAGCGTCCGTCGGGGAGGACCTGCTATGCCGGGCTGAGGAGAGCTGGCCAGAATACGATCGGAAAGTGCCATTGACGGCTTATGTAAGTCGCCCGACCACATGGGACGCCGAAAACTTGACCAGAAGATGAATAGCGCGCCGAAAATGGAGATTTTGGCTCCCAGAGACACACGGGTCATGTGAGCTTGAGACACGAGTCGTGTCGTCCTGACGGGTCGCTAACTGAGCTTGCGGCTTTTACACATGACTCGTGTGTCTCGTGACACGAGCGTGTGACCCTGGGCGGGTTTGGTAAATGTCCTACGCGTTTTTCCAATTTTTATAGATTTTTGACCTATTTCGACTAGGACTCAACCCCGGCTATTTAAAGAATACTTGGACACGTCTTTTACGAGTCTAGGACCTGATTTTCAGATCATTGGAGAGCTTTGGAGGCTAGAAACACGAGCAAGACGAGGGAGAAAGCCCAGGAAGAAGGGATCGACGGAGCCGAATAAGTTTTTTCTTTCTTTTTCTTTTCTTCTTTCGAACTGAATGTTTTATATTTATTTTGAAAGCATGTTTCTAGGCTAATTTATCTTAGATTCTAGGATTTGTTAGTACTCGGATTGATTTATGATTTAGTTTTTATTTATTTCATTCCGGTTTATCTTTCGTTTATAAAGTTCTTGTGCTTATTATTACAGTGTGAGTAGACGGCCGCTATGAATGCATATTTGTAATTGATTTGAGACCGAGAGGAGATAATTGATTGCTAGAATTGGGAAATTTATAACGTAAGAGACTAAACAGACCGAGAGGTTGATAGAATCTTGCGAGAGAGCGAAAATCCTAGGAACTTATGGGAGTTAGTTGTTCATCTTGAGACCGAGAGGAGATAGATAACAATTAATATCTACGATTTGCTTGTTCGAGAGAAAATTTGGAATCAATTTAGTGATTGTCTCTACGATTGGTAAAAGTAAATAAGGTTTTTATGAATATAAATGTTTCATGAATTAATTCCGAGGAAAGCATGACCTAGAATCTATCTTTTATATCTTGATTTATATTATTTTTATTAGGTAGATTAATTCTTAGTTTAATTTCTTAGTTCATAATCATCATCCAATTCATTAATCTAGATAATATTTAATCGTCACTATTTAGTACTTAATTAATTTAACTACAATCTCTGTGGAATACGACCTTGCTCGCCACTACCTATAGCTACGCCGTACACTTGCGGATAGCGAAAATAATTAGAGAACAAGTTTTTGGCGCCGTTGTCTGGGATTGTTTGTTGAATTAATTAATATTAAAAGAAAGCGAATAGATATTAGTTTAGACATTTTTTTTATTTTATTTTATTTTTCTTTTTCTCTTTTCTAATATTTTCTTTTTTTCTTCCTTTCTTGCGAGATTACAATGGCCGAGAAAATGGAACTTATAAGACAACTTGAAGAGCAATTGGTGGAATTGCAACGTCAAGTGGCCGAGCGACAGGCCCAACCAGTGCAAGGCAACCCGATTCGATTAATTTTTCAACCGCCGAAAAATCAATACTTTGGTGGAGACCATGGACCGAGGATAGCAGCCAATACATTTCAATTGAGTCCCGAATTAATTCAAATAGTGCAAAAAGAGCAGTTTGGGGGAAGTGAAACTGAAGACTCGAACGCGCATCTTGCGCAATTTTTGGAGATATGCGGGACGATTAGGATTAATGGGGTGCCGGATGACGCAATAAAGCTTTGTCTCTTCTCTTTTTCATTGAGAGATAAGGCGAAGATGGGGTACAACTCGTTGAGAGCTGGGACGGTCACTTCATGGGATGACATGCACCGATAATTCCTATTGAAATTTTTTCCGCCAAGCAAGATGTTAAAGCTTCAAACCGAGATCATCCAGTTCAAGCAGCAAGATGGAGAGTCATTTTATGAGGTTTGGGAACGTTTCACGCAACTCCTCTGGAGATGCCCACAACATGGGTTTTCCAAGGATTATCAAATATGCTACTTCTACAATGGTTTGAGTGGAAACATGAAGGCAATAGTAGATGCTTCGGCTGGAGGCGCTCTTTTGGGACGGAGTTCACATGAGGCGCTGGAAATTATCGAGGAGATGGCGTCCAATAGTTACCAGTGGCCGGTTGAGCGGACGATGCTCAAGAAGGTGGCGATGGCCAACGAGAGGGACCCAATTTCTGAGTTGGCGACTCAAGTGACCGTAATGGTGCTTAACGGCATGCAAGGGATGAAGAACGAGAAAATCGGGGTGAATGCAGTGTCAAGGGTCATCAATGAGCCGAAGAAGCCGACAATCGAAGATATGTTCGCCTCGTTCATGACTCTGACGCAAGAATTCATGGGTGACACTCGTGCTAAGTTCTCTACGATAAAGAATCAAATGAAGTCTATGGAGGAGTGAATTGGGCAAATGGTCGCGATGGTTGAGTGTCAACAACAAGAGGGCCAATTGTCAAGTAGTACGGAGATCACCCCAGAGGATTGCAAAGTTGAGGATGCCCAAGAGGCAAGAGATGACGTTTTAACTGAGGTAGAGAAGGTGCATGAGGAAGAGAATATGGAGAGCCCGGGTGAGGCTCAGGAGGAGAGTAGTCATGCACTACTACATAGAGACCGTCCTGTTAAGTGCAATGATCCCGGTGGATTTTATATCGATTGTGCAGTTGGAGAAATATATACCGGGAAAGGGCTATGCGACTTAGGGGCGGGCGTCAACTTGATGTCACTCTCTGTTTTTGAGAAGTTGAGATTGGAGAAGCTTCAACCGACTATGATCACTCTTCAGATGGCGGATAAATCCCAAGTTTGTCCCACGGGAGTTGTAGAGGATGTATGGTTGACGGTTGATGGAATTAAGTTTCCGGCAGATTTTGTGGTGGTAGATATGAAGGATAACGGTGATACACCTTTGATTTTAGGAAGACCATTCCTAGCCACCGGACGGGTATTTATTGACATGGAGCTTGGTGAGATCACGTTTCGAGCCTATGATGAATGTCAGACTTTTACACTTGCTCGTGGTTGGAAAATCCAAGAGCCAAAAGACGGTAGTCGACGCCATGAGAAGATCAAAGAGGAGTTTGGAATGAACGAGAATGACCCTTATTGAGAGCTCGGAAGACGTCTAGCTAACGACGTTAAATTAAACGCTTGTTGGGAGGCAACCCATCGTTTATCATTTTTTTTTTTTCGTTTTTTTTTTATTTTATTTTTTTATTATTTTTTTTCAAAAAAAAAAATCTGGAAAAAGAAAAAAAAAAAGTGAAAAAAAAACTTAAAAAAAGTGGTGGTGATCGAGTGTTCGAGCGGAGCATGGAGGAAATGATCGTGCTCAAGGGTGCAAGGATTTCTTATGGTGGAGCTCGCTCGGCTATTCGGTTAGTTGCTTGTGATATACTATTTATTTTTCTTAAACTTAATTCTTTTCCAAAGAATAAGTTTGGGGGATTTAAGTGTCTTATATCTTGAGTTTTTATTGCTTTATTGCATATCATATAGTTGCTTGCATTAGTTTTTATTTTTATATTATATTTATTAGGATGCACGTTTACTTGTTTTATTAGATTAGTAATAATTTGGTTGAGTCGAATATTTTTTGCTTTGTCTTGTGTGTTTCGGATGATTGGTGGATAGACAAGAATTGGTTAGAGTTGCTTATATTAATTATATTGTGATTGTGATCATGAGTTATATGCCTTGATGAATAACTTTATTTCTTTGAATTAATGATTTATTTGCCTTGGAGAGGATTTGAGCCTTTATTTTATTTCTTGTGTGATTAGTTGAATACTTGGGATACTAGAACTTGCGTTGGTACTTACTTGAAAAATATAATTATGTACGTGGAGTTTTGAAAATGATTTAGGCGATTTTTGTTATCTAGCCCGTTTTATCCTCTTTTATTTTTCCTAAAATTATATCCGTAGTAACCCGTTTGAGCCTTGAGCCTTTCCTTGATAGCCCTTGGGTGATTATTTACTATTTGGAGATTTTGGGGTTGAATAGAGCTTGATGTGAGGATGAGCTATGGTGATTTTTTGTTTTGGGAACATTGAGTATGAGATGGGCTGTGATTTATTTTTGTGATTTGAGGCATTTGATTGAAAAAAAAAAAGATAAAAATGGGAATAAAGAGAGCTCGCAAAGTGAATTGTGGGGATTATACTCTTCTTACTCTTCAAACAAAGTCGGCTTACGCAGCTTTGACGCTGATGGGCACATACCGTGATCTTCCGCTGTGGCGAGCCATTTGGAGGGCGCTATGGACCAGCGCGTGCATGATTTCTTGCGGCCGGGGAGCCGGGACAGGCTGTTTACCAACTTAGAGTGGGTTCGGCGACACATGGCTGGAGAGGTGGCATATTGCTACCTCTGTGGGCAGCCAGAGTCGACGTCATACGTGTTACGGGACTGCTCTAATGCGCGCCACCTTTGGGATACCTTGCTCCCGAGCCCTGCCCGGAGGGAGTTTTTATCTCATGAGCTACGAGGGTGGATATGGTCTAATTTCATGGGAACTTGCATTGGGGTAATGGAGGAATGGACGACCATTTCTTCCATTACGTGTTGGCGACTTTGGTATTGGAGAAACATGGCCATATTTTTTAATAAGTCTTTTCCACTTGAGGCTAAGATTCAGGATATTAGGCGACGAGTGGAAAGATTCCTGAACATTACGTATGGCTTGGGAGTTGGGAACGCGTCAGGTGGTAGTGGAAGTGGATAATAGCAGTATCGTATCTATGGTGATTGGGACTGAAGATAACTTCGGTCTCTATGAAGGCATTGTCCAGGCTATCCATGAGTTGCTCAGGATGGATTGGTGTGTTCGCTTGTCCCATATTTATCGAGAAGGAAATTTCTCGGCCGATACTTTAGCTTCGTTAGCTGCTAATAATGTCCTTTTTGGTTATAATAGTCTTCTGAACCCGCCGAGGGAACTCGGACATTGGCTGGAGCATGATATTTTAGGCGTGGCCTACTGATACGGAAGTGATCTTCAGCCCGGCGAGACTAGTGAGTGGTCGCAAGCGATGGCGAACGCGGGTAAGAGTGGCGCACGGCTAATGGGCGAAGGGCGCGCATTGGGCGATGATGCGTGCGAATATGTGAACGGCACGCGGGCAGCGCTGGGTTCACGTGGGTGCGCGGTAGGTGATTGGGGCACGGGCGTTGGCTGGGACGCGCGACGGACGAACAGGGAACACGCGGGGCGCGGGTGGCGCGCAAGTGAGCAGTACGCGGGCGGAGTCCTCGACCGCGTAGGCATAGGGAAGTCGGGCGAACGGTAACACGCGCGCGAGAAGGACAGCGGTAGCGGGGCGAACACACCAGCGCGCGAGTGGAGTACGGACGCGGGCGGAGGCCTAAGCCTCGCAGGCATAGGAGAGCGGGACGTGCACGTGCAAGGGAAAGGCGGCGAGCAGGGCGCGCGCACGAAAGGCAACGCGTGTAGCGCGCGCGCGAGAGAGACCGAATCCGCCGAGGACTAGGCGTGCGAAGGCGGCGCGCGCAAGGGCGGCGTGCGATGAGGCGGCCGAGGGTTTTTATGCGAATGACTTGAGCTTCAAGTAAATATTGGAGTGCAAGTCAAGTATCTATACTTTTAGTATAATTAGGATTTTATTTCCTTGTTGCTTTTAATTATTAATTTAGGAGATCTAGTTTGGTTAGGCTTAGATTTATTTTATGCACCTATAAATATCCCATGTATTCTTCATTATTAAGGGTCCATAATTGATGAGTTGAATAGAAAAGAACGTTTGTTCAAACCGTGTGTTAGGATTCGTGAGAGTTCTATCATGCAACCGAATTAGTGAGGCTAAAACCCGAGCTAGTTCAAAATCGAGGGAGCGAGGCTAATTACCAAGTGAACTCAAGTATCGTGAGAGAGTTAGGCTAATAACCAAGTCGATCACACCTATCGTCGAGAGCAAGTCGTGGCGAGGCTGTGTTCGAGGCAAGCGAGTGGAACAAAACACACGATCCTTCATCATTGGTGCTTTCATTGAAAGTGATTGATTTTGTGTTTCGTTTAACTTTTCCTATCCCATTCTTTTTTCTATTTGTCCGATTTTTTCCCCCTCTTGTTCGAATTTTTTCGAATTTTCCTTTTTCTTTTTTTGAAAAATTTTCGAGAGTATCAAAAAAAAAATAAAAAATGAAGAGAGTCATGAAGTTTGAGCCATTAGATAAGATGGATTTGGAGTATCTCGAGTATTTGGAAGGTTTGGAGAGGAGTTTGACTCCGGATGAGCAAGAGTATTTGGAGGAGCACGAGCGACAACTCGTGGAAGCCAGGGGAGCTGAAGTGGCCAACATTGAAAACAATGGTGATGAAGGTGCGTTGAATTTTATTATCCTTGAGGAAAAGGAAGGTCTTGAAGAGGAGGGGAATGATACGGAAGTGATCTTCAGCCCCGACGAGACAAGTGAGTGGTCGCGAGCGATGGCGAACGCGGGTAAGAGTGGCACACGGCTAATGGGCGAAGGACGCGCATCGGGCGATGATGCACGCGATTATGTGAACGGGAAGCGGGCAGCGCTGGGTTCACGTGGGTGCGCGGTAGGTGATTGGGGCACGGGCGTTGGCTGGGACGCACGACGGACGAACAGGGAGCACGCGGGGCACGGGTGGTGCGCAAGTGAGCAGTACGCGGGCGGAGTCCTCGACCGCGTAGGCATAGGGAAGCCGGGCGCGCGGCAACACGCGTGCGAGAAGGACAGCGGTAGCGGGCGCGCGCACCAGCGCGCGAGTGGAGTACGGACGCGGGCGGAGGCCTAAGCCTCGCAGGCATAGGAGAGCGGGACGTGCACGCGCAATAAAAAGGCGGCAAGCAGGGCGCGCGCGAAAGGCAACGCGTGTAGCGCGCACGAGAGACCGAATCCGCCGAGGACTAGGCGTGGGAAGGCGGCGCGCGATGAGGCGGCCGAGGGTTTTTATGCGAATGACTTGAGCTTCAAGTAAATATTGGAGTGCAAGTCAAGTATCTAGACTTTTAGTATAATTAGGATTTTATTTCCTTGTTGCTTTTAATTATTAATTTAGGAGATCTAGTTTGGTTAGACTTAGATTTACACCTATAAATACCCCATGTATTCTTTATTATTAAGGGTCCAGAATTGATGAGAACGTTTGTTCAAACCGTGTGTTAGGATTCGTGAGAGTTCGATAATGCAACCGAATTAGTGAGGCTAAGACCGAGCTAGTTCAAAATCGAGGGAGCGAGACTAATTACCAAGTGAACGCGAGTATCGTGAGAGAGTTAGGCTAATAACCGAGTCGATCACACCTATCGTCGAGAGCAAGTCGTGGCGAGGCTGTGTTCGAGGCAAGCGAGTGGAACAAAACACACGATCCTTCATCACATACCCCCATCGCTTGCTGCTTTAGTATCCGTTAAACTTTGGCCTCTCTTCTTGTACCAAAAAAAAAATATACATTCTTTAATGGTTAGACCTTCATAAAAATAATTATCGTTTTTTTGCGTTGTACATACTACAAACTGATCAATAGCATGCTAGATGCATACAAAGAGATTCGGGCACATGCTTGCATGGATCGCGATAAAACCCCATTGCAACAAATTGGTGGTCGCAACTCTAAAGATTCACCACTCAAAGGTCCCTTTTTATTCTCTCCTAATCTTTCTTGAAGAAACCAAGAATCTTTTATTCTGATTTTTTTTTTATTTTCTCCAAAGAAAGAGGTGATTTTTTTATTTTTTTTTTCAAGAATCTGCAAGAAAATTGAATTGACCACTCTCTCTTGATACTTTACTACTTTTTTGTTGCAATTTGCGACATCTTTGTACGTGATATTTCATTAATTTCCTCCGAAAATTAAGAGATAGAAAGATCCTGCAACACTGCATGGTTCTTAGGCTTACTACGTGTTCTACAGATTACCATTCTCTACATATCAGTGTTTCTTTAGGAGGATACGTCGTCTGTGGTTCTGCATATCGGGCGGTCACAATTGCTCCGATTACGAAGAATTTATTCAGTAAATTGATATATCAGTGATATTTCTAGAGTTTGTGTTCAACTTGATCTGAAAAAAAAAAAAAAGTAACTTTTGCAAGTTTGTTTGGTATCCAAGAAGAAAAAAAAAAAGCAAACCTTTTTAAATGTTCTTGTGTGGGAAAAACCAGTCCACTAGTCTTTGCTCCTGATCTTTTATTTATTGCTTATTTATCAAATGTTTATAAATAGGGTTCTCCAGCAAAGAAAGAAAATCATGCAAGTTTCTTTTTAACTTGCCCATAGAAACACATCAAATCACTAATATTTCACCTCAGAATTTGTTGATTTGATTTACTTTCTAATCCATAAAAAAAATGGATAAGGTGGTGAAACTTGCATCCGAAAACGGGATATTGATCTTCAGCAAAAGCTCATGCTGCCTCTGCTACGCGGTCCAGATCTTATTTCAAGAACTCGGGGCAAATGCTCGTGTGTACGAGATCGACCACGACCCGGACGGCAAGGAAATCGAGAAGGCCCTCGCGAGAATGGGCTGCAACGGCCCGTTGCCCGCGGTGTTCATAGGCGGGAATCTGGTGGGGTCCACCAATGAGATCATGTCCCTACACCTCAGTGGATCCCTTGTTTCCATGCTCAAGCCATTTCACCAGCCAAACATGTGATGATCTTTGAATATTATTACATATATATAGACAATCTGAACAACTTTTAATCTCCTTATTATGTGTGTGTGTGTTTATTTTAATGAAGGTGTAATAGAAGAAGAAGAATAAGAATTTGCTCCATTGTAAAGAGCTTTTAGGCTTGGGAGTAGTGGTCAAATTGAATGTAGCAAAGAAACAAGAAAAAAAAAAAATGTATCAATGTAATTTTATCAAGGTTATTATTACTAGGTATGTATGTAGCTTTTGTGTATTAGCATATGCACTGTTGATCAGCTTGGCACTTATCTATCTTGAAGTGTTTGGCTTAATATAATTAGAAGATAATGTTGTTGTATGTTGTAGCTATTTGTTCTTTTCTGAATCCATTGATGAATTTGTGTTTGCTAATTAATGACGATTGCCCACTCACTCATTGCTTACAATCACCTTGTGACAACGAGGCTAAATTTCATTTTTAGTACAATATATTGACTATTTTCTGAAAATAGTCCATTATATAGGGTGTCTTCAAAAATAGTCCACTAAGTTGTCATTTTAATGAAAACTCGTACAAAAACCAACATAGTGTACTAAAGATGACCACTTTTAGTACACTATATTGGTTATTGTACGTATTTTGATTAAATTGACAACTTAGTGGACTATTCTTGATGACGCCCTAGATATGGACCTTTTTCGTAAAATTGCCAACATAGTGGACCATTTTTGAAATTTTGCCGACAATAGGGCGCTGGATCAATCTCATATTTTACTATTACTAAAGATGCAGTTATGGGCCTAAAAAAGTTGTAGATGAGATGTCCTTGCAAATAAGACTTTGGCTCTATATCCTTAGCCTTGAAAGGTCATTTGGTCATCTTACCGTTCAGGTAGAATTTGCAAGTCGGATAGTTTTCAACTTTCAATAAGCCCATGACTATCAACCTTTTGAATCCTTTTAAGATTTATATGATCAAATCTAAGATGCCAAAGATATGTTTGATTTATTTTCGAAAGTTTTTTCTTCTTAATTAGGTTAGATATGAATTATGGATTTCTTTTTGTTGCGTATTTTGAGACCTTGGTTTTAGAATAT